AACGTGCAATTTTCTGCCAAATCTCGCCCACTTAGCTTGCATGCTCGTGCATGTGGTCGTGCAACTTCCTCATGTGGAAAATCTTTCAATTAAGCTTCAAATCTTGTCCAACTGTTTGCAATTCAAGCCCCAAAATCCTACAAACACAAAATGCACTCTCTATAAGTCTATGTGTTGCAACTACGCAATTTAGAACCAATTAACACATCGACAAAGCACAAAAGACATCAACTAACTATGCACAAAATAACCCAAATTTGACCCCTAGATATGATGTATCTTTGGCACTTATCATAAGGTGATGGTGGTGATGGTGTGATTACGTTGTGGTGTGGTGGTGATTCTGGTGGTTAGGTGGTTGTGCAATCGTTATACCCTGCACCACGGTGCATATAGCATTGTGCTCGCCGCGCTTCTCAAAACGACGTTGTTTTGTTAAGTTGTGTGGGGAGTCGACACGACATAGTGTATGTGTATTATGTTATATAATTATGTACATTATGTTATACAATTATGTACATTCTGGTATAAAATTATGTACATTATTTTATACAATTATGTACATTTTTTATACAATTATGTACATTCGAACACGCGATTTTTTTAACAGTTAAAAGTTTATGTGTTTTCTATTATACAATTATGTACATTTTAGTATACAATTATGTACATTTTCAAAACATAAAATTTTCTTTTAACAAGTTAACAGCAAACACGAAAAAGCGGAATTTTCAACAAAAAAAAAAAAAAAAGCAAAACGATGTCGTTTTGCATCAGGGCGCACAATGCAATGTGCACCCTGGTGCACGATATAAATTGCCGTAGTTGTGATGGTTGTAATAATAATAATCTGAAAACTATACTAGCTTAAAAAAAAAAAAAAAAAAAAAAAAAAAAAAAAAAAAAAAGATAGAAATTGGAAAATAAAGAATCTAAAAAATGTCTTCCAACTAAAAAATTAAGAAGATATTTTCTGTCAAATTAAACATTTTTTTCCTTGACCAGATTGAATCTTTTCCCTTGACATCTTTTTTCTTGAGTACCTAAACATTAGAAAATTTAAAAATAACTTTCGGAAGTCATTTTCTAAGTTTCCAAATGGATTCTTAATTTTAAATGTAAATATATTATCTAAACACCTAAAACAGTACTGTTGTTAATTTATTTACTATGGTAGTTTTGATTTCCTGCGGTTGCTTTTACTTTCGAACAATTCCAAAAGAGACAACAACATAAGAATGAACTGTCTTGACCTTATTCAGTTATTCTTCTAATTATTAAACTATTTGTACATATTGTGTTCCTTTTATTATTTAAAATGAAATTACATTTTAAATTTTATTATTTATTATTAAAAAAAAAAAAAAAAAAAAACTAATAATGTAGTACAGCCACAACTCAATTTTTAACATCATCCTTCGTCTCTAGCTGCCACCTTATGACTTAGGCATCCCCTCTCCTCACCGTCCAATCATAATAAGCCACCGCCGACCTCTGACGTGTTCTCTTCAATTTTCTATTCCGTGTAATTTCACTTGGACCCTTGAAATTTATAATACTACATCAGTCCTCTTTAGTTAAAAATAATACGCACACAGACCCCCTCAAGCAGCACCAATGTCATTTTTTCGCATTTTACCTTTAATTTAACATTTGTTTTCTAACAAATTAAAATTTTATCTATTTTTATAGATACAATAGTTTCATGTGACAGATTTCGCAGTAATTAAAGAAAACATATTTCAGTTGCACTTTTAATAAGTAGATTTTAATTAAATTATGAATCTTAGATTTAGATGGAAAAAATCATGAAAAGTTATATTCATAGCAAATACCTTCATCCAAAGGCAGCGACGTTAATGTCATCTTTGTTTGGTGTAGCGTTTTTAGCACGAGTCGAGCGACCACTCTTTCCCTTAAAACTTTATTTGCCACCTCCCAAAAGTGCTAGAAACGTTGGAGCCTATGCTTCCCAGGGTAAAACGTAATACGATTCAACGTTTGAGCTCCCAAACGAATGAACCCGACGAACTAGAGTATGGACAGAACACAGTCGGCAAGAACGGAGTAGGAACATAGTTTTGAGAGAAGAAAAGCTAACTTCTTGTTGTGTGTGTTGTGTCTTTTTTTCGCTTGTAAATCTGATGCCCCAACAACAAACTTATATAGGAGATTAAGGTGTAAATAGCATTCAACAACGACATTAAATCCAATTTAAAATCATATTATAACCTTCAAAACTGACCATACTGTTCCGATAGACGTGAACTGCGCTTGGACCGTTCCGATCTAGATGACATTTACTGCGTGAAGGTTCACCGTTCCGGACCGCCTGCCAATTTCCAGACGAGGTTCACCGTTTCTACGACATTTGTACCCACAGTGAAGGTTCACCGTTCCGGACCGCCTGCCAATTTCCAGACGAGGTTCACCGTTTCTACGACATTTGTACCCGCAGGTGCCAACGTACACGAGTTCAGGCTTGAATCTCAGTTTGGTATTTGATTTGCACCCCCTGCGCGCGCGAGAGAGCCTCTATGTTATACAATTCAATAAGCCTTAAAAGAGCTCTTGTATAAATAGTGGTGCAAGTCTACTTCCAAACCAATGTGGGACAAAAGCTACACGTTTTCCCTTCATTTTTCAACTCAAATGGGTTTACTTTGAGAATCAATATCTCATTTACCCATTATCTGTTTTGAGCGTACAATATATCAATCTCTTCGTCTCACTACGAAGAACGTGAATCCACTTTGACCCGACCCAAACCGAAAATGGATCCCACTAATAATTGTACCACAAAATAGCTACTTAAAATGTTATTTTAATGCTACTTTTCCAACATTTAGCACTACAGAAAATAGTCTAGCAACTTAAACTCTATAAATAGCAAGTTTCAGAGATATTTGATTAAGAAAACTTTCTCTACTTTTAATGCGAGTAATCTTGTACTCCAGCAGCAGTACATGGCAAAGAATTATGTGCATCATTTTAAGCTAATTTCAGCAATCCTTATTGCTGAGAAGCACAACAAATTGTTAATGAAGAATCACAATTCATGTCCGGTTAGTTTTGCACCAGTGCCTGAAACATATAACCCTGCCCAGTTGAGCAACTTTAGAAAGGGCCAAGGAAGAGGTCTCAGTCTCATCTAAGGTGGTAGAGAACTTTTATAAAATGGGATAAATTAATGAAAAATATTATACTTGTCGAAAACACAAATGCTTTTACAATTACTCATATTATATGTCAATATGGATCCAGAGCTAGGTGTTAGAAGCGCCCCATCGATTATTATATAAAGGAGCAGTTAAGGTATAACTTAGCTCGCTAAAAATGTATTCTCTTTATAACACGTACACCGTTGAATTATAACCATGTATGTTACAAATAAGTGTTTACAGAGTACTATTGACTCTATTACAATGTAGTATCTGTTCAATATACTTTCTCTATATATTGTAGTCCAATGAGTCAAAGACACACAATTATTTTTAAAAAATTAATATTGAGTATTAATATTGGACATATATTTTTGCGCATTGCCCATATAAAATACTAGTCTAAAAAGCATAATAAGTTTCAATTCAGGTTATACCCCTGGTTTATGTCCGTTTTTTTTGTTCTTTTTTTGTACATTATGCTTTAAAAGTTGTACTACATAATTTTTTAGACAAAAATATCCCTACCATTATAACTTCTGTTATCTTTTCACATTATTAATACTATGCACATGTATACACAATATTTTTTCCTACATTCTTCAATTGTAAGTTTGATTTTATTTAGATTTTAATTAAATGTTATCATAGTTATATTTAGTAATTTATCACTGAGTTAATTCCATTTTTGGTACTAGATTTATAGATGATAGTCACTTTTAGTCATTTTTTTTATCAGAACATCCTCAATTGGTCCTAGTATTATTGTGGCATGACTATTTTTGGTCATTCGTCAAGAAAATTATTGAAATGCTGTCAAATACAAGGACATTTCGATCTTTTTATACAAAGTAGGTTGACCGGCTATATTTTTTATGTTTTTTTTTTTTTTTTTTTTTTTTTTTTGAAAAAGATCAGAATTGAAGACTGAAATGATATTGTATTTGACGAAATTTAAGCTATTTTGTTGATGGAGGATCTAAAATGGTCATGCCACAATAATACTAGGGTCAAAAGTAGATGTTTTGAAAAAAGGGGATTAAAAGTGGACTGTCACTTATAAATCTAGAATTAAAAATGGATTTAACTCTTTATCATTTCTATCATTCTTACTTCAATAATATAGATATGAATTCTACAATTATAAATAAATAAATAAATAAATAAATAAATAAATATATATATATATATATATATATATATATATATATATATACACACACACACACACTATTATTTTTTTTAATATAACTAAAATTTTAATATTTAGTATTAATATTGGGCATATGTTTTTGCGCATCGCGCATATAAAATACTAATCTAAAAACATAATAAGTCTCAATCAAAGTTATATCCCTCATTTATGTCCATGTTTTTAATACTAATCATTTTGTAAATTGTGCTTTTAGAGTTGTACTATATAATTTTTTGAAAAAAAATACCCCTACCGTTGTAACTTCCGTTATCTTTTCTACTATTGTTATCATGCACATGCACCCACTATATATATTTTTATATTCTTTAATGCTAATAATATTTGTAGACATTATATATTGGATTGTTATAATAAATAAATTTGATTTCATATATATTTTGATTATTATGAATTTGTTAGTTAGTTTTAAAAATATAAATATTGGGTATATATTTTTGCACATCGCGCATAGCAAAGACTAGTAGAAATATAAGGAGTAATATTTTTTGAGGCATTCAGTGTAAGTCTTAAAACAATGGGGGTAAGAATGTTAATACAAAAAAGTTTAGGTGCAAGTCTGAAATTATACCTTCTATAGTTCTATTCGTATTACAATTATCGTTTAATAATAATTTTAATTTTAATAACTTCTCGAGATTTCTCACGTTTCACTTCTCAAAGCTCAACGACAGCGATCTTCTTCTCCTCCCAAATTGCCCTATTCCTGTTTCTGGAGCGGAGATCGATCGGACTGTTCGTCGGATTGATTGAGGAAAGGCGGTCAATCGAAGAATTTGATCGGAGCGATGGAGCAAAGCAGGCGGGCGGTGGAGTCGTATTGGAGGTCACGGATGGTCGATGGCGCGACTTCTGATGAGGACAAGGTCACTCCGGTTTACAAGTTGGAGGAGATCTGTGAGCTTCTCCGGTCGTCTCATGCAGGCATCGTCAAGGAGGTCTCGGAGTTCATCCTCAAACGCCTTCAACACAAATCCCCTATTGTCAAACAAAAGGTCGCCCATTTATCCTTCTTTGATTTGCTGCTAAATTGGCTTTTCTCCTAGTTTGATCATAGTTTCTTTGATCTCAGATGTTTAATTTTTAACTGAATTATACCAAAATTTAGAATTTAGGAGCTTGCGTGATTTAAATGATAAGGTTGGTTACTGAAACTAATGGAAAAAAAAAATGAATTGAGAACAACGATTTGAAAAACGGAGATATGAGTTTTTCTTGTTACTCTCCCGCTAGATGAGCCTTGTTTAGTTACAGTCTAAGGCAACATTTAACCAGTGAGAAGCTTAGCTTCAGTGCTATTCTCATTTCACTTGAGATGGTATTTAGTAATGATAACGGGGATGCGATTAGAATTTGGCTGACATTTTTTGCCTTTCCATAAACTTCATTTGTTAATTGAGATGTGCACTGATGATGAAAGCTCTGCAGATTACAATTGTACAGAATTTTCATCTTTATATCAACTTCAACCAGTTAACTGAGATACTAGAATACTAATACTAGATGTTTGGTAACTTTCATGACTAATGAATTGAAATGGATAAAAGGGTAAGAGGTCTTTCTTTTAAGTATGTAAGTTGTATTTGCTTCTATAAAACTTGATTGGAAAGCTGAAGAAATTGTTACATTTCACCTTGAAGTGTGGCAAAAGGTAACAATAAATAAAGTAGGGAACTAATGGAGAAACATTTAAAATGATTTTATTAGGTTTGGAGGCTCCTCCAAGTAATAAATATGTAATTTAAACAGGAAAATAGTTAGTTATTTGTGTACAAATGTAATGATTGTTTAATTTGTTACTATCAGTAATTCACTAGCTGGTAGATTTTATATTTGTGTATTCATGTGTGTGTTTTGGAGTTATCCTGGACATATTTGAGCTTTGCCAAATAGGTGCAATTGATTTAGCTCAGTATGTTAAAATAAAAAGGTTTACTCAATAGAGGCTTGATTGTAGTATTCAGTTATATGCAGATACTGTTAATTGAAACTATTTGGAAGTATAATTAGGTGAGCATTGATGTTTATTACACTGAATAGCAATAGTTATCTTATGCTTAAGCTAGCTGAATAGGTTCAATTGATGTAAGTCATGTAACTCAATATATTAAACAAAAATGTTCACTTTATGGAGGCTTGATGCTAGTATTCAGTTATTAGCAGAAGGCAAGTCAATTCCAATCCTTAGTTTGACCCACTGGCTTTACTACTAACTATGATACATGATGTCAAACAAAAACATCTTTTTTTTCCATTTTACTCTAAAGTCTGTGTATTCTCTCTCTCTCACAAATAGTGAACTAGAACTTCATATTCGCATTTGCAATTTGCTTATTTTAGGGAAATTTTCTACTGATTACTGAATTCCAATTTATTGAGATCATTTCACCCTTTTGTTTAGGCTCTAAGAGTAATCAAGTATGCAATAGGAAAGTCTGGTGCGGAGTTCAGAAGAGAGATGCAAAGGAATTCTGTGTCCATACGCCAGTTAATTCACTACAAGGGCCAGCCAGATCCTCTGAAGGGTGATGCACTTAACAAGGCAGTGCGTGAAACAGCACAGGAAGCATTATCAGCTCTATTTTCTTCCTCAGATGACATCAAACCTGCTCCAAAAGAAAATCTCGGTGGTCGAATCCAAGGCTTTGGTAATACTAACTTTGAAATGCCATCAGAAGATAAGAAGTCATTTATCAGTGAGGTTGTTGGAATTGGTAGTGCTACAATAAAGCATGGACTTAGTAGTTTGACACAATCTCCATCACTTAAAAAGAATGATACTGGAAGTTACAGGGGTCCAAATCTTCAGCGATCATTGACAAGGGAAACGGATTACTCAGATCGATATGAAGGAATAACTTCATATAATGAATCTCAGAATAGTTCTGGGTTTTCAAGAAATGCAGGTTCTCAAAGTTGGGGTCAGGATCTTAAGACATCTGATACCGAAACAACCAATAGGGACTTGGGTATGAGTTCTGGTGAGAAGACTCGTGAGGAGAGGTTATTGGAAACAATTGCAACATCTGGTGGTGTTCGGTTACAGCCAACCAGGGATGCCCTTCAAGCATTCCTGGCAGAAGCTTCAAAGTTGGATGCTTTAGCCATAATTCACGCCATTGAATCAAAGCTCCATTCTCCATCATGGCAGGTCTGTCTCCTTTTTCATTCTCCAGATATTGAGATCCGTGGAGTGATTTTATGTAGATGCCAAGAGGAACTTAACATTTAAATGCTCCTTGCTGCACTTTCCTTCGCTTTTTTACTTCTACCCCTTCCCCCTATTAAAACTGACAAAAGAAATACTGTGCTGAAGCTTACCAATCCTTAATTTTTTATTGTTCTGCCAGGTCCGAGTAAAAACCATTTGTGTCCTTGAGGCAATTTTGAGGAAAAAAGATGATGAACATTTTTGTATTATAGCATCATATTTCAGTGAGAACAATGATGTGGTGGTTAAATGTTCTGAATCCCCCCAAGCATCTTTAAGAGAAAAGGCAAACAAGGTAAATCTTTTACTCTCTGATTACTGAACATGATTCCAAATTCCATTGTACAAGGAAAGTAATTAGATGTTAAGTTTCACTATATTTTCAATCTGCATGATCAACATTTCGTCTCAAATAAGATAGATGAATTTTAATGCCTTTCTGTTTGTTTAAAATGAAATGGACATGTATTGTTGAAATGTTGACATTTTCATTTGGTTTCTATGTACCTTGATTATTTAAGTAATATGTTTGGACAGGTCTTGAGCCTTCTGGACTTGGGACAGGGCACTAGTCAGACTGTAGAAAGTGTAGCTCATTCGGACAAACTAGCAAACACTGAGACTGTTCAGATGCCTGACTTAATAGACACTGGTGACAGTGATGATCTTTTCGATACTGATGGTTCAGTACAAATGCAGAATAATGAGAATGTTGCAAATACCTCTTCCCCTACTGCTCCTCTGATTGATGATTTATTTGGAATTGGCACTGATTTGAACACAAGTGAACAGAAAAATGATGATGATCCTTTTGCAGATGTCTCTTTCCATAGCAGTAATGACAAAGAGCATGAATCTGATCTCTTCTCTGGGATGACATTTGACAAACCAGGGTCTGCTGAAGTTCGTCCAGTACCTAGTGGAAATGGACCTGAACCATTTGATATTTTTGGTTCCAGCTCTGATATAACCAAAGAGGAAAGTGTTCCTCAAAAAGATGTTCATGACTTAATGTCTGGTTTATCCCTAAATCAATATGAATCATCTACAAGACCAAATGGTAGCTCAGGAGGAACAACGCTTGAGAATATCTTACCGAATTCTAATCCTAATCCTGGCCATAATGTTTCCAATGATGTCTTCAACAGCATGCCACCTTCTCAGATTTCTGGTTCAAGTACAATTCCAATGTTTCCTTTGGGTGCAATGGCATATAATATGCCTCCTGGCTTTATGTTAAATCCATCATTTGCTTCTCAGGCATTGAATACAGGTGCCATGGGCAATCTTTTTGCCCAACAACAATTCCTTGCTGCAATGTCCACTTTCCAGCAAATGGGCAGCTTGCAGCAAACTGCTAGTGTTAATCCTGCTTCTGGATCTAATGGAGGTTACAATTCTGCACTTCCTGATATTTTCAATGCCAACATTCCTAACCAAACTCCAACATCATTGATGAACAGTCAAAAGAAAGAGGATACTAGAGCATTTGATTTTATCTCAGTAAGTTTAGTGTCTGATAATTGCTTTTATCATTTTATTTTCTAATGCATGTTTCTCTAATTTAGAAAAGCATTATGATGATGATGCCTGTGAATTTGAAGACATTCCATTGCAATTGAAGTATTTTCTTTATTGTTGACTAACTGACTTAGTTGATTGATAAATCCGGTTAAAGGAATTACTAGACCACTCATCAATTGTTTTTAATTGGTTTTATTCCATTTTATGTTATCAACTTTAGGGAGTTTAGAGTTCCCTGTGACTTTTTTTAGTTTCATTGCTGTAGATTACTTTTCCTCATATTTTTATGCTTGTCACTGTTTTGTTTGGTCTACTTTTCAAATGGTGTCATCTGCTTTCACACTTGACATTTTGCATGATAGTTTCAGAGTCTGCTGTTACTGACCAAATTAGTGTCTCATGATTTTGTACTCCTTGGAAATGGTTATACATTTTTCGTGAATCACAATCATTCTGGTGCGCATTTAACTGCTTTGGTCTTAAGCATCTAAGGGACTTCATAACATTTTAAAACAAAAATGAGTTGTTTATTTTATCACTAGATAATATTCTTGTTTCAAAAGTGTCTAGCTTTGTACGTTATTGTCTTTCTGTTGCCCCCCACCCACCTGAAGCATGTGGTATTGGCAGGGAATTTGATTGTATTTAACAACTGTTGAAGCAGCATTCCATCTGAATGTTGGATTTGTGTTAGCAATTGCATGAGGATTGATGCTAATTATTTCTTACAGTAGTAACAGTGATGAACTAAAGATAACTTGTAAGATGCAATCAACGTTATATGATGTTTTTTACCCCATGATTTCAGGATCATCTGGCTGCGGCTCGTGACCCAAAAAGAGTAATTTAAGTTTTGAAGCTCATATGCAATCACAATATGGCGCTTAGCTCCTTTGAATTTAAGGATCTCAACTTCAAAGTGGAATCTGGCAATTAGACCAAGGGATCTCAACCTGAAAATATTAGTTGTTTCATAATAATAATAATGCTTCCTTTTGATATTTCTTAGGAGATATAGGTTGATTTGTTGAGAACTTTTGTTTTGGCGCGTCACATAAGTGTAATGAATCCCTAGTACAAGAAAAAGAAAGATTTGGTCGGTGATGCTTGTTGATTTGATGTAATGACAGAAGAATGAAGTATGTGCAGATTTATATTCTTTTAAAGTGGTGTAGGTGATTGGAATCAGACGCTTGCATTTCTTTCCTTTTTCTGCCACTCATCAGATTGCCATATGTAGAATCAAAATTTTAAATTAAAAAAATTATTTGTGATACTCTACTGTATTCAATGGTTCGATCTCTTTCTCAATGGTTGTGTTTCAATAGATAAAGCGCCCTGGAATGCTAACATCTTAGAAAAAGCTTGTCTCAATTTTTTCTTAGATGCTAAACATGGGTTCATTCTCTTGTACCAGCAATCCACCTGCGGTAGAGTTATACAGCTACGGCAATTGGATTATTTATTACTATTATTATTATTATTATTATTATTATTATTATTATTGTTATTGTTTTTATTGTTGTTATTGTTATTATTGTTATTATTGTTATTATTATTATTATTATTATTATTATTATTATGGTAGCATTTGTTATAGTTTTTTTTTTTGGAACACCAAGAACCACAACTTCATGCAATAATATCCAAAGACAAATCAGAGAAAAGAAAGGGAGCGCCATACCAGACCAAAACACCTGACATAGACCGAATCACCCTACTTAAGACATGAATAGTCCGATCTAACATCCTCAATAATTAAGCCAAATGAGCCACATCCTCAATAATTGAGCCAACCCTGCCAACCTAGAACGATGGACAAACTAAATTGTTAAGTTTCGAAAGACTCCATAAGCAATCTAACATCCTCAAAAATTGAGCCAACCCCTGAACCGCACAAACCACTTGTGGAGCATCCATCTCCATCTCTATATCATCTAGACCCAGCTCCTTCAGCCAACTCAAAGCTTTCCCCGCCCAACCGCTTTAGCCTCCCAAGCAACAACCCCCCCCCCCCCCCCCCTATTGACACCTTTTAGCCGCTACAAACACCGTACCCCATTCTCATCCCGTATCACCCACCCAAAACCCATGCAATTCCGACCAATGTCAACGGCAGCATCGACCAATGCAAAAAGCCCTCTCATGCCGATGATATCCCAACACTGAGTCGCAACGTCACAATGCATGAATAAGTGTTGAGCCATTTCCTCCTCCTTACGACATAGGACACAGTATCCATCCACCACCACCGGCTTCTTACGAAGACTATCTAACGTCGGTAATCGTAAAGTGCACAACTGCCACCAGAATACTTTAAATTTAGGAGGAAGAAGAAAATCCCATACTCCAGTCCACCAAAACTAGCCACCCACCACCCTTTCCCCTAGTAAACGCCAATAACCACTTCAAACTGTATACCTATGATGAGTGGTATCTATTGAGGGGTCATTTTGGGATTGTTTTATGCTTGATTGAGAGTCTAATGAGTATAAATTGCTATGATTGAGGTATTTGGATAGTTGGAGGATGCATTTTGATGTTTTGCAGGATTTTAGGCTCAAATAAGAAGTATTTTGGAGTATAGTTTGAGAAATCTACACAGTGACATTGCCACGATAGGGTAGAGCATCGTGGTGAAGAATTAGCAAGTTGCAAGATGGTCGCCACGATTGTGGTGTCATATGTGCTTATAAACAACCGCCCTCTTAAGTGATCAGCTTATAGTGAGTAGTTGCATTGAAGAGTGAGTTGGCATGATTACATGAACATTAATGCATGAATTACTATTTCTCAATCCCTTATACCTAAACTTATGTTTTATATACTAAAGTTATATATCTATTTATGAAAGGACTATACTAATGCCTTAAACTCTTTCAAAACCTATATATATAAACCTATGTCTATTCACACTCTTTTTGAAAAATATGCATGATATAATGATTCCCATATTATAAAGGGAAGTTTTCCAATGCTGTGTCACCGCTATCTTTTGATGTGAGGAAAAATCTATATTTTTGGAGGTCCCCGTTTGGACTATGTTCTTTCGATAGAAATGATGAAATGTTTTGATGATGAGAGAGTCCGGTATAAAAATCCTGGACAGATATGATTGAAGTAGCTTGGTAGAAAAATACTGGGCTACTAGCAAGGTTGGATACTACCCACTAGGCTTGGAATCCCAGTCACGGGGTGTGCACACTGAACGTACGATACATGCTTCCAAATGACATGAGATTTGTGGGTGAGCTGAGATTAGGCCGGTTGATATTACCCGAGCCCGAATTAGGTTCATCTCATGATTTGTGAAGTTCCTACCTCCCCACAGTATGATATAATGAGACATATGTGATTGAGGTTCCGTAGTTACAGATGTGGCGGTTGTGTGGGAAGCACTGTTCACTAGCTAGGGCTTCGCCGCGGCGGAGTGCTTACCTCCTATGACCCAGATTCATGATACAGATGAGACAAATGAGATTGATATGAGATCCTCCAGTACTACTAGTATTGTATCCTATTTTCTTGAGGATGAGAGTATTTATATAAATGACTTACATATCTATTTGAGAAACCTTATACTATAATGCTTACATTTTCATATGAATACAAATGGAATGCGGTGACTGTTTTATCATTCGGGTTACTTATCTTGAGGGTACAGATTTGCATTATACTTATTCCTTTACTCACGACATTCACTATGAATTACCTATTTTCATTCACTCTCATTTAGTGGTATCTTTGCATATACATTTACTTAGTAGGTACGTAATGTTTGGTATAAGCATGAATGTGAGTTGTGTCTATATATATGTGTGTGTGTATTCTATTGATGACTTGATTTACCCCTCTATGATCCTATGTGTTAAATATTGATATCAAACAAACTATTTTTCAAATCTATATCTATATCTATTTTACAGGGTTGAGTGGTTTATACTTAGCATTATATGCTAACAGATTACTTCTCCATGTATTCTTTATAACCCTTTTCAGGCTGTCCCAATGCTTTTTGAGAGCGCACTCGATCAAGGATGTAGTGGTGTAGCTCTAGATCTATTTTGTTGATTGCTAGTACTTAGCATTTATCATTATGTCTTGTCCTATGATGACTAGTATTTTGAAACTTGTGTTGATAGTATGATCTAGCCTTAGACTACCGTTGAGTTTTGTTGGTGCGTAGACACCTAGGTTTGTAAACTCATTTTGATGAATGTTGAGCTTTTGACTCTAGAATGTTAGCTGTGTGTAGTTATCCGAGTGTGTGGGTGACTACGACGGTAACACTTCCTTTGATGTTTGATTTATGGGTTCATCTATCTTAATCTAGTACTTTATCCTTATCTCTATTCTTAAATGAATGTTTTAAGCTAGGCTCATAAATGTGAAAATGGGGGTGTCACATTTATCTCCCTCCAAAGGATTTATTTCAAACAACCCTATAAATACCTTCAATCAAGACTAAAGAAAGTGTTGGTCAATCAAGTAAAAATTATCAAGTGTTCAAGTGATCTAATTGCTAAGAAAATAGTGACCAGTGAGAGAAGAGACAAGAGCTTCAAGTTAAAGATTTAGTTGAGGGTTTGGCAACAAGCAGTCAACCATCAAGCGGTAAGTTTACAAGAAGTTGGAGGATCAACACTAATTTAATTTGTTTACCATCTTTGTATCTCTACTTGTGAAGTAGAATGAGGCGAAGTAACAAATTGAGGCTTGTGAAAAACTTGGAAGCTAGAGACCGGCTTTGTGTTCAAGGCTCTAGTTTTCTTCATTGTACTAGGAGTTTTAGTGCAATCGTCTTAGGAGTTTGTGGAGAAGTGTAGACGTAGGCTGGTTGATACATACATACATATATATATATATATATATATATATATATATATATATATATATATAAACCAGAATTCATGCATTTACACATATTAGGGTATAACAACAAAAATAACCACAAATTACTAAAAATTCGAAATAAAGTTATTTCTTTAAAAATCAACAAATATGATATTTAACACAATAATAATTAGAGCAAATATTTTTTTTTAAAAAAATAAACCTTACCGCTAATAATGGAATTAGTGGCGGCAGTGGTAGAATTAAGCTAGCTACGGTGGTGATCGCAGAAGCTGAGAGTGGCGGTGATAATAGAGTCTGTGGTGGCTGACCAACACAGTGGCAGTGGCGTCGATGTGGTTGCAGGCGTCGATAATGGAGGCATCACTAGTGTGGTGGAGTCGGTGGCTAAGTGGTGGTGGAGTCGGTGGAGAGGATAGGTGAAAAACAATTTTCGCGATTTGTACCAGATCTAGATCTGGTGAAGACTTTCTGCGACCTTTTCTCCCAGAAAGGGTCGCAGAATGTATGTTAATTTTGTATTAATAAACTTTTTCCGACCCTTTCTTGGAGAAGGGTCGCGAAAAGTAATACTTGTTTTTTAATTAGAAACCGTGACTTTTTTGTTTAAAAAAGGTTACAGTTTCTTATTCATTTATTTAATACACTACCTTTGTTTGAATAAGGGTATCCTAAAGTCATATTTCTTTGTTCCATTTTGTAACAGTGAACTCTTCGGGACCAACAACACTTACACCCAAATTCAACAGATTGACATCAAGGGTACTACTTATGGAGATTCACCATCTCGTAACCGATGTAAAACTAGAAGATGTTGCTCATAAGATCGACCATGGACCCTCCTCCACCACCCTCACCACATCAATCTTGTGATAAAAACAAAACATAAAACGATTATCCTTAAGAGTAGTAATAGTCAACCCCTCTCAAGATGCCAAACTGATGTCATAGTATCCTTGAAGAAATAGAATTTCACATAATTTCACCGACCAATCGGTTATGAGCCACCCCATTACCATAAACTAATGATCAGGCACATGAGCCACTTCATCTGCCGCAAACACCATGCCCTCATCCTCCTCACCCCCAATAGAAAGGGTTGCGCCAATGTTGGTTTTACGGCTTTTGGATGCCGCTCGGCGGGCCAAACTACCCTAAAATACTTACAAAAGGGATTTGTAACAATAAAAGAGGGAAGTAATAGAGAGAATAACGTGGTGTTATTTCTTTAGAGTTTCGGCCGCTTAGGGTGCCAGAATTGCCATCCCTTTACAAGGTGATCCCGGGGGTTATATTTATACTAGAGTACAAGATTCCTGCAAGGAAAGTAGGGC